TAATCTCTTTTTATAGATACATTTTTTTTCAGTAATTTGCCTAATTCCTTCATCTTTCTGACTCTGCCTCTGCAGTGTCACAGAGAGTAAATCTGTGTTGTTTAAAATCTATCTACTTTTCATCGTGCCCCTGCTTGCACATTTGAAGGATTTGTAAGTTTCTACAGTCACCTGACCCTCCATCCTCAGGATTTTTAAAGCCCTAATTAATATCACATATCTCTGCCTTCTCTTCAGACTGCGGCAACTCAGCCTTTTAGCTCCCTGTTTGACAGGATATTGTGTCATTGTCTCAGTTGTTGCAGCTTTTAATAGAATCATACAATAGCATCATAGAATGGTTTGGGTTGGAAGGGAACTTCAAGATCATCCAGTCCCAACCCCTTGCACAGGCAGGGACACCTCCCACCAGCCCAGGCTGCTCCAAGCCCCATCCAACCTGCCCTTCAACACTGCCAGGGATGGGGCAGCCACAGCTTCCCTGGGCAACCTGGGCCAGGCTCTCACCACCCTCACACTCCACAATTTCCTCCTCATGTCTCACCTCAATCTCCCCTCCTCCACTTTTCATCCATTCCTCCTTATCCTCTCCCTCCCTGCCCTTGTCCCAAGCCCCTCCCCAGCTTTCCTGGAGCCCCTTCAGGCCCTGGAAGGTGCTCTAAGGTCTCCCTGGAGCCTTCTCTTCTCCAGACTGAACACCCCAACTCTCTCAGCCTGTCTCCAGAGCAGAGCTGCTCCAGCCCAAGGATCATTTTGGTGGCCTCCTCTGGACTCTATCCAACAGCTCCATGTCTCTCCTGTGCTGGGGGCTCCAGAGCTGCACACAGTTCTCCAGGTGGGGTCTCACCAGAGCAGAGCAAAGGGGCAGAATCCCCTCCCTGGCCCTGCTGCCCAAGCTGCTTTTGGTGCAGCCCAGGACAGGGTTGGTTTTTGGGCTGAGAGTGCATATTGCTGGCTCACATTGAGCTTCTTATTTCTCTACATCTTCTCCAGTGTCAGTAGGTGCTTGAGATGTACAGAACAAACCTGTCTATAGAGGTCACAAAGTGTCTGCATCAAATTTCACAGAACTGAAAACATGCTGTCTGTGTTGTTTGACATCATCAGGAAGGATGTTCAAACAATTACTGGCTTTTTTAGCTGCTGCTGCCCATTGAGCCAGTGGGTTTGGATTGTCTACAACTCTAAGGTCTCTTTTGTGATTGTAACAACTTGTAAGTGTGAGGAATGTGAAGAAAATGATAGTGTGTGAATGATGCTCAGTATTGATTAATTGTCATTCCTCTCATTAAAACTGCATTACATTTAATTAATACAGCCCTTGACCTTGCAAGCAGTGGTTGCATGTGCGGAAGTTCAAGCATGTGTGTATCTGCTTAAATAAGTTCATGGTCTTCAAGTTCAGTATGTGAGTGTTGTCAGAAGTAAAGTCCAGATAAGCCTTTCCAGTAGTAAGCTCAACAGGAAAGGACTCAGAAAAAAGAAAACAGCCCAAATTGCAAACTGACTTTGGATACTGGAAAGTAGGAGATGAGCGTCATACAGAACATCTAGACAAGATGAGTGGATCTCCCTGTGTAAGCAGAGGGTTTTTCCTTTCGTTTCCATTTTCACTCATTTTTCTCTCACTTGCTCTTTTTTCCTTGTATTTAAAAAACTGGTGAAGAAAAGAATGCTTTTGGTAGGGTTTTGTTTGTTGGTTGTTCAGCCTTTATGTTTTGGACCCACCTTACCCAGCTGAAGACACAAACCCAGATTCTTGTTGCAGACACTGTGTTGTATGTAGATTAAATTCCTTTTTCTACTTCTGGCCCTGTGAACTATTAATGTGTAGTAGGGGCACCTCCAGCAGAAGAAATAAATTAACCATTCATCCCAAAATAAACAACTATTCAAGACTCTGTTTGATTCTGAGCAGAGCAGGAACCTGAAGCTGATTTCTCATGTTGCCACAACCATGTGGATGTTGCTGGCTGCTGAGAGTTGGTGAGGGTGAGAGTTTGGGCAAGAGCCTGGAGCATGTGTCCTTCATCCATCCACACTCATATACTTGGAGAGAGTTTCAACTTGAGACAGAAAAAAATGTAGAAATCTCTTAAGCTTAATGAGACGGGAAAGTGTTTTTATTCAGCTTGAGGGAACACAGGAAGCAGAAGGAAATATCAGTTTTAATCCATTAGTAGAAATTCAAAAGTAAAACATTGACAGTGGTAGCAAAATCAAAACTTCTACAGTGACTTTACCTACATAGAAAGTAAATTAAAAAAGGCTACAAATAGACATGAAATGTGATGTTTGAAATAAGCACCTGTGCTTCTTAGTGCTCCATTTGAGATGCTTTAAGACATTTGATTTTTAAGAAATTGGTGGGAATAAACCTCTTCAGAATATCTCAGGTTTAGTACACAATATTCCAGGCACACACAGGCACTTCTGCAAATCTTGACTAAGGATTTCAATGGTTGCTGCTCTGTGTTTACAGCTGGTGTTGGTTCTTGAAGCCTGGGAGAACAAAAGTCAGGTCCGTTCTCTTATTCATCAATAATTGTTTCTTGGTTTCAATCCAAATTTCCAGTGTTTCTTGCCCACTTATTAAAAATGTATTAGAGTTCAATTGGGTGGTTTCTTTTTTTCATAATTGTTAAATCTCTTCAATGACTGGACTGTGTTGAATATAAATGTTAATATTAGGCTTCTGAAAAATTATTTTCCTTTCAGATTGTTTGTTGGAGGTCCTGAGAACTGAAGATCTACTCAAAAACAATGAAGCTCTCCTGTATTGCATGAGAGCTATAAAATTCATGTCTGGAAATGCAGTACTCCTTAAGGAAATGGTCAACAAAGGAGCTATTGAAACATTGCTGCAATTAATGAAGCAGATTAATAATATAAAAGAAAATGACACATATTTCTTCAGCTTGGGCCACCTATTAGTTCAGGTTAGCATTTACTTTTATTTCTAACTGCACACACTTCAAGGGCAGATTAAAGATGTAATTAGAGGAGCTGAGCTGAGCCCATGTGCCAGTGACAGAGTCATGCCTGTACTTGAATAGGCTCTTTTAAGAAGTTGACAAGTTGATCAGGACCTAAATTTATCACAGATATTTTTGTGTAGTTGATTTGAAAAGCTTTAGAAATTCTGAAGTTAATAGAAATCTTTTTATGTACCTAATAAAACCACTTTCTTACTATGGCTTTATGGTGCTGACAACGTTCTGTATACTATGGTAAACAGATAAAAATGTGTTCCCTCTCTAAATTCTTTAAACTGAAGTAATAAATACAAACCTGTTCACAGAAAGGTTTTTGTTACAAGAATAATGCATTTTAAAAAATGCGTAGGAAAATACACCTACGTTTCCTTGACAAAGTGTTTTTGAAGCACTGTAATTTAAGGAGAAGGCAGTTATAAAAACCAATACTTTTTGAAGGCAGCAAACTGTCTTTTCACATACGAGGCACTTTGAGTGATGCCAGTGGAAACTAATCCTCTGCCCTAAAACTGTTTAAACCTCCATGTTTCAGGCAACAAATGGTTCTGTAGCTAAATCTGAAGTCATGCAAAGGTGATGGGGTTTTTGTGTCTGTCAAGGATTTGTCAGGTAGATGCCTGGCATCTTGGAAATGACTGATGTGAAGACAAGTGAGTGGTGTAATTGCCAGTTTTTGGGGGACTTCACAGGAAAATGAATGGGATAATTTTATAAGGTAGCGTTTACACTAAATTTCTCTACTAATTATGCCAGATTTCTTTAATTCTCTACTAAGAGAGGATTTTAAGCTGCTTGAAATCTTGTGAGAAAGCAGACAGGTTCCATCATCATCATGTTACCGTTACTGATTTTGGTCTGTTTATTTTAGTGGAGCTATGAGGTGTGTCTCTCCAGAACAGTGGATAGAATCCTAATACAGGCATTAAAAGATTGGGAGATGCTACAAAACACCAAATGAAATTATGTGCTTTAAGACCTGCCTTTGGCTAAGGAAGCTCCAAAGTGGCAACTTGCTAAGGATTGAGATAATATGTGATGAAACTTGAAATTTTGTGCCTGTGTTCCTGTTTTCTTTCCCATCTGGTCCTGTCATCATTAAGTTCCTGTTGGAATCACACGATACTCTTTTACACACTTCTGTCTTGAGAAGTGGGAATGTTAACTTGTGGCCCTGTGAATTCTCCAAACAATGCTACAATCATCTGTGCCACTTTGTTGCTAACATACCTTCTATCCTGTACAAAAATAATATGTGAGATTTCCAAGCCCTACTTTCCAAGGGAAGGTGTGCAAACTCCATGTTGGCTCACAATCAACATTTTAATGCCTGTATTTTTCTGGAATGCTGCTAATTAGACTTTGAGAGTCCCACAACTGCTGCAGTGCTGCTTTGGGCTGTCAGATTTGGTAGAAACCCCCTTTGAAAAGTATTGAGGAGGGATGGGGGGGTCCAGAATAGATTCTGTTTGAGTATATTTTACAAGGTGATAGTGACTTAAAACACCTAAACTATAAGGAAAATTAGCTTAGATGAAGGAGTATGATGCCTCATATACAGGAGCTGTGCAGTCATTTCAGTGACTGGAAATACAGGTTGCAATTTTGTGTAGGCATTTTAAAACCTGAAGTAGAGATATGTATCCTGTGTCCCTTTTAATGTCTATATAGTTTAAAAATATTTATCCTCCTGAGAGCAATGGCAATGGTTAAAAGTGAAGTAAGTTACTGATGTTTGTTGGCTGCTCTTGGCCTTAATCTTAGCATACGCATAACAGGAATCCTGTTGAGTTGAAAGAGATGGAAATTTGTGTTAAATAGATAGAAAAAGAAGTTTTTGCCAGTTAGAGCAAAGTCCCAGTAATGTCCAAGTAATAAAAGTAACTAATCAAATGGTTTTCAGCTGTTAGACTGCCTAGCTGAACTTCCCCACAACTTTCCAGAAATGTTTCTTCTTCTATTATTTGTAGGTGGGTAAATTTATATTTTAAATCAAGTGTTTAATGTGCAAAAGGAAAATGTTACATTTTACACTCATATAATAATGTTACTTTTTTTTTCCTCATTGTTATCTCTGCTGCTTTCAGTGTGATTGGAAGTGTAGTTAATTTGTTTTGTACAATTTGACTAGACTGGCTGTTTCTAAGAAGGCCTTGAGTATGTTGTGGAGAAGTCAATACTGTCAACTGTCTTTTCCTGAGGTTGCTGTTTCACTTCTTTGCATTCTCTTCAATAGTAGATACTTCATTTTTCTTCCTCTGGTAAGAAAACAAAAAAATCCTGCTGCTATGCAATTCCTGTGTGACTTCCTCATATCAGTTTCTTCAACAAATCAACATTTAGTCCATGTGAGTTAATTGTTCAATCATCATGGACAGCTGTAGGAATAGTTCTGTTTTCAGGGATATGGTATCAAAGGCAGTTTTTTTGGTGATTCATGTCTTCTGAATAAAGGAAGCTCTTTTTGGCACACTTAAACTTGCAGCAGAAGGTCAAATAGCCAGTGACATACAGAAATAATAAATAAATACAAGTCTTCAGGACTAGAGACCAAATTATATTGGAGGAGAAAAGCACCTTAATTAGTCACAGTGTTCTCTGTGGGAGGCTCTGCCATCTCTTAGTCCTGATAACTGAACTATCTCCATTAACTGGGACCAATGGGAGGTGTCCCTGCCCATGCAGGGGTTTGGAACAGAATGATTTTTAGGGTCCCTTCCAACCCAAACCAGCCTGTGATTCTGTGAGGCTCCTCATTCTTTAACTGTGGAAGTGCACAGTCACCAGATGGCAGTGTTAGACATCGTCTTGCCAGGTCCTTGTTACGGGAATAAAATCCCTCACTGATCACTTTGGACAACAGGTTTGATGCAGAAATCTCACATTACCAGACTAAAAATGTTTGAAAACTGGCTTCATCCTGGCTCAAACCCGGACAGTTTGTAACAATAATTGTTTCTCCTTAAGAGAGGACATGAAACCAAGGTAATATCTGACTCATTTTGTGATGCTTCACTTTGTTGTCTGATCATATTTATAAGGAAAATGGGAGCACTTACTCAGCAGCCAAGGCTTTTTGAAGTGTTGCTGTCAAGACTTAACAAGTATTCCAAGTTCCTCAATTGAAAACACTTAAATGTCTTCTTTACTTAAAAATAGCATTTGTCTGCTGTTAAATTTTCTGTTTGGGTGAATTTGATCTTTCATGTGGCAACAGAAGGATTAGGGCTGGTGGGGATTGCTAGAGCTAATGGTTAAGCATTTATCCCTGAATCCTGGTGTCTGCTTGAAGCAATCAGAGTATCTCTGGAATTCATCTCCTGTCTGGCTAGCTTCTAGGATTTTTTAATTTGTACTCTTCAGATTTCACTTGGGTACTAGCTGTTCTTTTGTGGATAAACTTCTGAATTTCATTGTCTCACACATGTAAGTGTGTATGTTACTTTGCATTGCTTTTATTTTCCAACTTGTCTTTGGCAGTGAAAAAATGTCTTCTCTTTTTGAAGACCTCTGTGCCATCCCCTGTTGATATTTGTACTTTTTCTTCCTCATCTAGTATCTAAATCCTCTTGCTGCAGTGAAAAGTCCTTGTCTGGTTTTGAACAACACTTGTAAAGTGTGGTTTATCCTTCATTTTCTTTATTGTGAAGTTTAGCTAGAGCTCAACAAATACTATCATAAGCTGTTGCAAACATTTTGTGGGAGAGTGCAAAGTCAAGTCTTATGTGTCAGTTCCATTTGGCAGGAATTTTTCCACCAAAACTTTAGAATGGCAAATGATTTGATCAGAATGTTTGTATTTGGAAATATTTCTCCAATATTGTGCTGATTTTTGAAATATCATGACCTGTGAAAGAATGCAAATCTAGAACTGGATGCTTTGCAGTTGTTCTGTTGAAAATAAACCTCCAGGGGTCTCCCTAAAATTGAGGTGAATGCAGATGGTTTCCATAGGTTCTGTTTATTCTGAATATAATATACATGTCATATTTAGTGCTGAAGTTAAATCCATTCACATATCACATTATCACCTATTTTTCCCCCCTCTCCACCTTACTTCTCCATTTTGATTCATTGTTCTTGCTCCTGTTGTTCAGTAACAGAATATCTTGACTTGCATTTTCAGTCTCCCCTTGTGTGGTAACTGAAGATTTTTTTGTCACATTTGTTGAAGTGGGAAGGGACCTTTGCAAGCTGCTGGTGAATAACAGTGCATAGAATCCTGTGAACAAAATCTCCTTCAAACACAACAACTTAATGTGCACTTTGTCAGATTTTTCCTTTAAAATTAGCAGCTGTATGTCTCTGAACAAGCAGTCCCATTCAGTGATGAAATACTTCATGTCTAGAGGTTTTTGTGATAACAAACCATTTGAATGGGTCGACTTTGTGCCTTTTCAAGCTCCATTTAAAACCAGATTGATGTTAAATACCTTACTCTTAGAATAAGGAAGATTTTAAGAATTCCCATAGTGACACCAGATGAAATGAGTTTACATTAATTTTATAGTAAGGTCTGGTTTAAATCAACAATTAACTTACATGTCATGGCCTGTCTCACCTTGGCATTTGAGTTCCTTTATCTTGGAAAAGAACCAAATAATTTCAAAATATACAATAGCTGATTCATTTTGCGTATCTACAAGCGACAGATATTTGATGCTTAAAACTTTGAAATAGAGCAGTATCATCTGAAAATATTTTGGTTTCTCGAAAATAAACTTGAAGACTTAAACTTTTCATTTTTGTACTGTTTGAATGCTGGGTATCTCTTGATCTTGATTAACTTTTAGATTTTTTTAATAAAAAGGAATTGTATTGTCTTTTCAAATAGATTAATCTTAGTTTGCAACTTAGAGTTATTCTCAAAATATGTGTCATAGAACCATGGAATGGTTTGGGTTGGAAGGGACTTTCAAGATCATCCAGTTCCAACCCCCTGCATGGGCAGGGACACCTCCCACTAGACCAGGTTGCTCAGAGCCCCATCCAACTTACCCTTCAACATTTCCAGGGATGGGGCAAAAATTAATTAGTATCAATATTAATTTGCAAAACTTAAATGTGAATTTCCAAAATCAGATCTAACGCCGAAAAAGAATAATCCCTGGAACTGTCCACAGCGTTTCACCTCCTTGCCATGTGATGTGTGCCTGTATACATGCATACAAGATTTTAAAACATATGAAAGATGATGTTTCAAACAGTTATATCCATATACACAATTTTGTGACTCGCACATTTCCTGTTGTAATGGCTGGGTAGATACACACCTCCAGAATGCTAACGAGGCATCAGGCTGCCCTTGACGTTAGAAAGGAGAGCTGAGCTTTGTTATGTTTTCAAACCAGCATGGATTCTGTTGTGGACAGCTGTGATTAATGAATCTGTAAATATTTGATGTGCAGCTGACAGCTACTCTGAGAAACTTGGCTGATTTCCCTCCAGCAAGACATCAGCTCCTCTGCAGTGCTGCAGCCCCTGAGCTCTGCCTGGCGCTGGAGCTACGGGCCAATAACAAGGATGTGAGCGCTTACATTGTCAGGATATTCAGGTATGTCCAGGACACCGAGCTGTTTCTGGGTGCTGTCAGGTGTTACTGCTTCTGGTGACCTTCAGAGAGGGCTGGGGCAAGCATGGAAATTGGAAGGTTTACATGGAATTCTTTTCTTTAAAGCTCTGTGTAGTTCTTAATGATTTTGTATGGTAATTGTGTCTTTATTAGTGCTGATAGAATTTCAGCTCTGGAGCCCCCAACATAAGAAGGACATGGAGCTCCTGGAGAGAGTCCAGAGGAGGCCACAAAGATGACCCTAGAGCTGGAGCAGCTCTGCTCTGGAGACAGACTGAGAGAGTTGGGGCTATTCAGTCTGGAGAAGAAAAGGCTCCAGGGAGACCTTAGAGCACCTTCCAGGGCCTGAAGGGGCTCCAGGAAAGTTGGGGAGGGGCTTGGGACAAGGGCAGGGAGGGAGAGGACAAGGGGGAATGGATGGAAAGTGGAGGAAGGGAGAGTGAGGTGAGACATGAGGAGGGAATTGTGGAGTGTGAGGGTGGGGAGAGCCTGGCCCAGGTTGCCCAGGGAAGCTGTGGCTGCCCCATCTCTGGCAGTGTTGAAGGGCAGGTTGGATGGGGCTTGGAGCAACCTGGTCTGGTGGGAGGTGTCCCTGCCCATGCAGGGGATTGGTGCTGGATGGTCTTGAAGGTCCCTTCCAACCCAAACCATTCCATGTTTCTATGACATATCGTGTGGTCAAACCCAGCAAGTATCTGTGTTGAAGTTCCATTGCAGCAAAACTTACAGACTTAAACAGATGTATAATCTGAATAGACTGAACATGTTCCTTTCAAAGAAGCTGCCTGAAGTTACTGAGGAAGAAGAATATTCCTTCTACATTACTACAAGAAAAAACAAGTTCAAATCTGTGCTCTGTATTGAATAGCATTTTTTTTTTCTGTGACTGCAATTTCCAGGAAGCTAATTAAATTCATCCTATGGCTAATTTGCATCCCTGGAGCCAGCAGTTCACTAAACTTAAGAAAAAAAAATTGAAGCAGCAGGAAACTTTAAATAAGACAAATTACTTTTGCTCCATATTGAAGTCTAATCAAATAAACATCCTTGTCAGAATTACAGTGTAAATATCTATTACATTTCATTACAAACTCATTACCCCACTTTTCATGGCATTTTCCAAGTAAAAGAAATGCTCTCTCTTTAGAAGAAGTAAATATGCTCCAAATCCTGTAAGCATTGATAGAACTCATTTTTTAGGAAAACAAACTAGAGAGACAGATGTGAACAAGGTGGGATGGAACTGGGCAAGCAACTCACATGCTTTACAGGCAGCACAAAGGACCAGATTTGCCTGGTTTTAGCTGTGGAGAGGAAGGAATGACAGTCCCTTATGCAGCTGCTCTTCAAAGCACAGCCCGAGCTCATCTAGCAAGGAGAATGTGATGGATAATTTGTAGGGGCTGAAGAGGAAGAGAATTCCATGGCAGAATGTCAGTGAACAGGGAGTCACAGGCAACGTGACTCAGTAGAGTAACAAAGCAGCAATGGCAGCTACTTCATCCAGAACAGCATTCGTAAGATGTGCTTATAGCCCAGCTGCTCCTGAAATTGCTGACAAGTCAATTTCACAACTTCTTCAAAATCCTTTAAGTTGTCTGCAAATCAGTTTAGCATTGAATGTTGTGACCTGGTGCTTGGAGACTGGAAGGTTTTTTTGACTGAGAAACCAGTCAGGCTACAAAAGGCTCTTTTTGGGTGATTCACTCACACTGATCTCCCTCTAAAAAGCACATTTTGGGAAGCAGCCACTGAGCTACTCATAATACTGAGACTCTCACTGCTTCCATCTGCACATTCAAGCCCTGACCCCACAGATTAATCTCCTCAAACACTCTGACAGCTCAAAGCAGTGGACGCTGATCACGTTTTATCTCCTTTGTATTTTATTTCATAATAAACCATCCTCGATATAACTCAGGCTAGTGCAACTTCTCTCATAAATTTATACAGAATATGGCTTAAAATGGGCTTAATCAATAATGAATAATTTATGCAGCTTTAATATATAAGAAATGGTACTTTAAAAATCTCAGTCTGAATCTGTGGGGTCAAAGCATGACACAATACAACACGTTTTCGACAGAGATGACAAATCCAAGCGTGTATGACTATGATTAACAATTTTACCATAGAACTATCTTTGTGTCTCTGAACTCTCTCCAGAAGCTCCATGTTCTTCCTGTGCTGGGGGCTCCAGAACTGGCCACAGTTCTCTAGGTGGGGTCTCACCAGAACAGAATAAAGGGGCAGAATCCCCTCCCTGGCCCTGCTGCCCACGTTGTTTTTGATGCAGCCCAGGACAGGATTGGTTTCTGGGCTGCAAGTGCAGCCAGTAGGAGGTTCTATCCTAATAAGAGGTGTTATCCTAGTTTGTTCCTTTATTGCAGTAGTTCTGGTATGACCCAAGCATGCTCAGTTCTCTGTTTTGTCACAGTCAAGGTGAGCAGTGTAGGACTGGAGCAGCTGTTAGGAGTTGTGCAGAGATAAAAGGATTTCTGCAAGAAGGTGGGTTCTCCGTGTCTGCTGTGAGGGGCATGCTCAGTTAGTGCTGTCCCATTAGGAAGGGACCCTTCCTTTCCTCTCCTCTCTGACTTCCCATGTCACCTTGAACTTAAAGTTCTCCCCTCTCTGGCTAGGAAGTGCCAGTGTTAGCACACCGTGCCCATATGGTGGGAGACTGGGAAGCTCCTTGTGCTTCTTCCCATCATTCACTCTGGCAAGGACAGCCTGTTGTGCTCTTATTAACTGCCTGTGCCTCTCCTACAAGTCAGTGTTGGCTTTCATTTCATTTGTTGGAAAATAGGCCTCTGAAAGTCAAAAGCAGTGATTTAAAAAAAAAAAAATCTTTTGTGGGGAAAAAAAAAAGTGCTTTAATTCCTTTATTATTATTTTTTGTACCTTTGCAGCAAACTTTCTTCTTACAATGACTTCTGTGCAGCTTTAGCAGACTGCTCCAGATGTTACATCTTATTTTTAGCCCTACTAGACAAACACCAGAAGCAGCAGGTCAGTTTTTTTCATCTCTTGATTTTTCTGTATTAATCCTCTGATGTGTCTGTGTATTATTGTGTATCAGCTTGTTTCCTGTGACCTACTTTCATGCATTCACCAAACCAAAATTTAAAATTGTTGACAGCATTTCTAAACGATGAATAATTGAAAGGAAATAATTTAGATTAAAAATTCAAAGCAATATATAGAACAGATAGCTGATTGACTTGTCTGTCCTTTGGTTGTTTAGTCCTTTGAGTACTTTTCTCTCCAGCTTGTCACCTCACCACACACTTTGGTGTTGTCAGCAAATTTGCTGTCCAAGAATGCAAGTGTTAGTTGTCAACTCAGTGAAGCCCTGCAGGAACAAGAAAGAGGGACATGGTTGCACCCTTTTTTTCTGTAGTATGTAACAAATACTTGAGCTGTGAGAAGGACAAATGTTTTTCCTGAGGTGCAGTTGTCACTGCTCATCTTTCTTTTAAGCTGCTGACAGCTAGTGAGTTCCAGGATGAGTTGGTATGTGCTGGAAAGAAAACAAGTAACAGCAGTGTGAGTAAAATTGTCTGCTGTGTGAAGGAGAAGCAGAGGGGAGGATAACTCAGTATTATTAACTCCAAGCATTACAAATCCTCAGGTCTAAGAGCTGGTAAGTGAAGAAAGGAAGTGGGTGCCTTTTTGGATTTTTCAGGTTGCTGAGTGCATGGGATCAGGTGTTGGATTTTTTACCTGCAATCGTGGCAGCCAGAAACAGAGTGGGACAAAAACAAAAGAAAACCAGCATTCAGATTTTCTCAAGCTCTTTCATAACTGTGACTTGAAAAATAAGTATTAAATATTATGAAAATAAAAATGTGAGCACTGGAAATAGGATGAATGACTTGCTCCCACCCCAGGCACTGAATTTCACAGCTGCCACTCAAACAGTCTCTGTTCTTCTCACAACACTGCAGTTCCATCTCTTTTTTTTCTCAGCTCGTTTTCTCTCTTGGGTAACAGAGTCAGAAGGAATGGGAGACCAGTAATTTAACTCTATGAGAAAGACTGTTGGGGACGTTGAGTTGGCAAGACTTTCTAAATTCCATGTGTCTTAGGTAAAAAGAGGCCTGCAGAAGGTTGGGAAAGGTGGAACAGGCTGTCCAAGGTGGGGGTGGTGTCACCATCCCTGGAAGCGTTTAAAAGAAATGTTGATATGGTGCTTAGGGACATGATTTAAGCACTGAATGGGTTAATCAGGTTATGGTGGGGGGATTTAAGTTATGGTTGGACTTGATGATCTTCAAGGTCCCTTCCAACCAGGATGATTCTGTGGATCTGCAAGATAGGGCTGGGGAATTCCTTTTTGAGTCATCTGAATATGTGTTGTCTTGGACTTCATTCCTGGTTGGCTTTGGAGCTTACTGGTGTGCAGTAACAAAAAGCCCTTGGTGGCTGCCATATGGCATGAAGGCTGTCAGAAATGTTCTTGTAGGGCCTTTATCTGGCAGGATGAGCTCTGCATGGTTCTGTTTCCAGCACTGCAGACCACTGCCCACCTGCAGAACTCTTTTAGCAAGGTATTGTTCCCCTTCTCTGGATCATTATAATCTCTAAGCTTTTCAGATGAGCTATGTAAAGGATTACTTCCTCAGCTGTGGTTAATGTCCTAAGTCCCCAGGAGGCCATGTTTTTGGAACAGGGAGATGGCCTAAATAGGGCAGTAGCTTCTGTCAGTAAGTCAGGGAATTACCTGAGCTTAGGTGACCTATTGGGGCCCTGCCAGCTTCCCTGTAATCTTCTCTCAGTGCACAATTAGGAGGCTCTTTCAATCCTAAGTGCACAAAACACAAGGTGCAATAAAAAAATTGCATAGAAGAAATATTTTGCCTGTTGTATAGAAAAGTCCCTTTATACTTTAGTGTCACTACTTTTTAAAGTAAGAAACATTTGCTTCTTCACATCCTGCACAGGGTGCAGCAATGGCCTGTTCAGCAAAAGAATAGTCATGTTGAGTCACATAAAAGGTTCGTCCAGCCCATTATCCATACTTGGAAGTGGTGAAAATCAGATGCCTAGAGGACAGCAAAACCAGAGCAAGCATCTCTGGTCCTTCCTGTCCTACCTACCAAACCTCCAGCTCTTTCCATTTGGGAAAGTTCCTCAGCCAGGTGTTGATCTCTCTGTATGTAATAAGCCTCAGAGACCTGAACTCTGTGTCCAGTTCTGGAGCTCTGAACCCAAGAAGGATATGGAGCTCCTGGAGAGAATCCAGAGGAGGCCATGAAGATGACCCAAGGGCTGGAGTAGCTCTGCTCTGGAGCCAGGCTGGGAGAGTTGGGGTGTTCAGCCTGGAGAAGAGAAGGCTCCAGGGAGACCTTAGAGCACCTTCCAGTGCCTGAAGGGGCTCCAGGAAAGCTGGGGAGGGGCTTGGGACAAGGGCAGGGAGGGAGAGGACAAGGGGGAATGGATTAAACTGGATTTAGATTGGACATCAAGAAGTTCTTTACATCTGCTATTTTATTACCAGCTGACTACAAATCCTTTTTCTGCTCTTCAGGCAGCCTTCCTCTTTGCTGCTTGGAGTATCTCCGTGTCATCAGCAAGCTCTTCCACAGCACTGCTGTCACCCACTTTACCTTGTTTATGGCCAAGTTGAGCACAGCAGCTCCCTGCACAGAACCCAGTGGAAAACCAGTGGTCATCTTCTACCATTGCAGGAGCTGCTTACTTGTTGTTTTCCATCCTCTAATCATTTCTGTCCAGTAGGACACTCTCCCTTGCAGCATGACTGCTTAGTTTCACTAGGATTTTGGTGAGTGACACTGTCAGGAGTCTCCTGGAAGGCCACATGGGGGATATTTGGGATTCCTTGACACACGTCTTCACTGACACCATGAAAGAACACAAGATTTGGGCAAGTCAGGAGTCTTAAACCTGACTGCATTTGCCAAGTCATTCTTTTTTATGGTTTCTTCTCATTTATCTGATACAGACAACAGGCTTGAATCACACCTGGATCTTTTTCTAGTAATAGATTTCATGTTTGCTACCTTGGCAGCCCTTGGGCATCAAGGCTGTTTTGGGAGGTTGCATATCACTGTTAGTGATTAAGCTATTTAATTAATTAGTTCTTTTAGAACTGTTGGGTGATTATCCACTCATGGTGATTTGTTACTGTTTGTTTTGCCAGTTAGTTCCTTAAAATGGTTTGTGGTTGCTTCAGTTTTGGATGGATCCTCAGAAGAGCCTTCCCCAGAGAAGGCTGTGAAACTGGCACCTCCCCAGTTGCTTTCCCAGTGGGCATGAGTCAGTGCAAAGATCTCATTTAGCTTCTCCGCAATTACATTTTCTTCTTGGAATGCTCCTACTTTATCCTGATCATCAATTAGTTCTGCGTATTCTGGCAAGCTTCCTGGTCCTGATACATTTGGAAAGATTGGTTATTATTTTTGCACTCCTTGCATCAGCCAGTAGAACTGCACTCATTTACACTGATGATCTGTGTGCTGCTTTACCTATTTGGTTTAACAATTGGTTTGTCAGAAACAATATATTTAATGAAGAACAGACTGATGTTGCCTTGTCATCCTCTCTAAGGAGATGTCTGCAATTGTAGGGTTCACTGTGCCTGGATCTGCCCAGCTTTCTTCCCAGGTTCTGGGGCCCAAATCAGTTCATAGTCTTCTGTGAGCAAGCTGGCTTCTGCTTGTAACACTTTCTCTTCTCTCCTTTCAAGAAAAACCCTCATTTTGAGGGCTGTTGAATGCCCCTTTTTGCTCTTTGGAGGTGGGGAAGGTTGTCACAGAAGGGGCCTGTAAATGCAGAGAATTTCTGCCCTTAGTTTCTGGCTTTGTTTGTTAGGTGAAAGCTCATCTGCATGCAGTGACTGGCCTTCCTGGCTGTTTTTTTTGGCTGCTTTATGGAGAATTCTGTGGTGAACTCACAGGAATCCACTCTTGGTCTGTTTCAGTCGGTCATATAACACCAGTCATGTAACACCCCAAAGCAAGCACAGACTTCTAACAATAAAGTCTGATATTGCAGCTGTGTTTAGTTGAGATACATGTTTGCCTCTGAAGTGCTCTGAGGGCGTTGTTGTCTTCTGAGAAACCAAAGGTGTTTTCATTCTTATTTTTACTGGGTTTTACGGGGGGTAATGGTGGGGGTGTATTTCTGTATCCACAGCTTGCCTCTACAGAAATGTTCAGCAGTGCTGACCCAAGAGTCCTGTGTGTTTTGGTCACTCACTTCTCCCCTCTTTGCCATCCCCCCTTGGGGCTGGGGACAGCTGCTGGTGTCACTGCAGAGAGGTCACTGAACTGCTGTCAAGGGGATAGAGAAATTGACCATCAAACAACCAAAGCATCAGATTTTTCTCCTGTGCTTTGTGTGTGCACGTGCATATTCATAACTGATCATTCATTCTCTCTGAATTAACATTATTTGTTTTTAAAAAAGAAGCATCCATTTTAGGATAAACATTCTGACAACTTTGCAGGATGTCCCTGCTGATAAATCTGAATTTCCACAGAAGGTC